GATGTATTCAAACGAAATGTACTGGTATTTTGCTTCCACGGCCAGTGTTTGACCTAGGTGAATCGTCAGTCCAGGCATTCTTTTTTGTTTCCGCCTTGGTTTTCTTGATGCCTGCCCACGGAGTACCCGTCCAGTACGAGTCAATAAAATCCCAGGCAACAGTGAACCTCTTTTGGTACCAACACCCTCCAAATTTGGATGCCATTTTATCAAGGACTCTCTCTGAGCCCGGTCTATGAAGAAATATATGATCAGGTACGAACTATCCATCACCGCTTCGGTTTTGTGCTACCATGGCTGCGGTTGCATCACCATCTGCCGACATCCGTGAATATGACCATTATCGCCGAAATGGCCCAGACGAACCTGCTATCCGACAGAAAAAAGAAAGACAAAAGGAATACAAACTATATTCAAAATACACCAAAAAAAATTGCACTTCAAATCTATACAACCAACCCTAACCCTGGAACGTCAACAAGCCCAAGCCCAAGGACTTCCAAGCGAAACAATATCCATCAAACTTGCATAAATCCAGTCTCAAACCGCCATATCGACCCTTCTATCCCTCCTCTCCTGCCTCGATCCGCGATCCATCATCTGGTACTCGCTCCCCTCATCCGTGGTCTCTCCCCCAGATCCCTTCCCCCTCCCGCCAGCAGGAATCTCCTTGTACCCAATGAGCACCCTGCCAGGGTGATAGACCAAGAAAAGAAGCGTGACAAGCACCATCAAGGCGCCATCCAAAAGAAACAGGTAAACCTCGCTCTGCATCAAGACGTTATCCCACCCCAGAGCGTACTCAATCATCCTAAACATACTCCGCACCATGATCAACGCACTACTTGCGTACAGCACCCAGAGGAGTTGCGTCCACGGCGTAGTCACTCCAAAGCTCCTGCTCGTAGGCTGTTTCCTCATTCTCATGTGGAAGAGCACGGTGGTGATGATGAACAATCCAAAGACGACCACCTGGATACCCAATCCCGCAAGGACGACGTTATTCCCCAGATCCTGGTCTTTCTTGGTTTTCGCAGAAGATAACATTCCGCCGCCGGCACCTTGGGCCGCAAAGGAAAGCACATCGCCGGCTACAAAGATCTTGGTGAGCCAGGACACGCGGATCAGAGACAGGTGAGCTGCGTCGAGGAGACGGATGATTCTGCCGAGAACCATGTATATCGATGCTGCGAACAGCGCGGGGGCGAGGAGGATGGTGAGGGCTTGGAGGATGTACGGCCCTCGGACCCATTCGTCGGGCTCTTGGGATGCTTGGATTGCTCGCCCCATGTAGCCGACTGCTTCGACTGTTGTGGAGAAAGGGAGGATGTTAGTTGGTGATTCGGACGAGTAGATGAATGCGGGAATAGAGAATAAGTGCAAGGGACAAGTGAAGGCACTTACACAGACACCCGAGCACAAAGGGGATAAAGTACCACGTCCTCCGCCTGATCATCAATATCAGGTGAGCAACTGTGACGAGGGCAAAGATGACGATAAAGGCCACCTCGCCGCCGAGGGAGGGATCATAGTGGTAGTAGATGAACTTTTGCTTCCCCGTGTCGGACATGGCTGGGTCTTGGAAGTGTTGACGATGTAGTCGTGTTGATTCTTCGTTCGACTGGGCTTTGAGGTTGATGACGATGATGAGAACTGACTGATGTTGTTTTGCCCTTTTTCAAGTTGGTTAATATGAGTTTTTGTATATGACTCTCGGCCTTGGGTGTACTCGTAATAAGAGACAGTGTTGTGTGTGGTGTAACTCGAATACAGGCTGAAGCTGAAGATGAGGACGTAGTCCTTATATGTATGGTTGACGAGTGCCATGTGCTGAAAAGCCAAACGTTGGATCTCGGTTCCGGTTTCGTGTTTTAGTGCCCTGCCAGTTACTATGTTTGCATGCCCTCAAGGTCGAGAAGGATGGAATAGCCTCGGAGATCGGCAGTGTGTGATACCTCTTCGACGTCAAGCATTCTACACTGCGGCCGTGTCAAGAGGTGTCGGAGAAAGAAAAGAACACTGCCATCCAGGCCAACAATGTGTTTTTCACCCGCCAAAAGAATCCTCCTTCCAAAAGACCAGACATGGCCTGCGTCTGAGCCTCAGATCACTACCATGACCCTTGTTCCCCTATCTCCTATCCGTATACGGAGTAACGGGCGCGGAATATTCCGTGCATCGTGTCCAATGAAGTGGGATATTAACCGAACCCGAACGGGAATCTCGGAGACGACGACGACCAAATCTAATCTCCACCAGCCATTTGCGACAAGGATCTCTTGTTTAGGTTGGTAGGCGTCTCTGATAGGGCTGACGTGTTCTCGACCACCCTTCGGACCCCGGCCTGCGCTTAAGCTGACATGTCTTGGCTGTCAGGGCAAGGAATCCTGGCCGTCGTCGTGGGTTGTATTTTAGTTTCGTCGGGTTTGCCCTGCGTTGGTCGGTTGACTGAATCGGTGTATATAGGGACATTAATTCCGAGTCTACAAATAACGAAGCCTTGGGAAATTTACTTGGTTACAACTTGAAGGGCTCGTAACCTTGCTGATCAGATACACTGACTTGACTATCGTATGGAACTTGTCACCTCGGAGACTGCAGGACCTGGACAGACCGGGGACATTCGTAATGATTGGGGCGCGGTCCTCGTGCGACGTGAGATTTGACTTGGGATGCTACCTGTTGGTTTGGTTCCTGGTTTTCGGAAAGATAAGAAGACCGTTGTCCGAGCCATTTCAGACTCCTCGTCGCCAATTACGGCCGATGTTGTTGATACGCTTTTTAAGACAAACCTCCAACCCCCATATTGAGCAGTAGACTCGCAAGCGGTCACCCAAGGTAGTTTTAAGTTGCCATCAATAACTCGACTGGATAATTTTCTCATAGCTCTGCCCGCACCGCAAAGTCTGATGATATCGGCAACCTCATCAACATCTAGCAATCCACGCCTAACGACTTGATTCGGTCTCGTCGGATTGCGAGTACCATATCCGTAGAACTGACGGAACAGTCTCAACATTACCAAACTGTCCCAGGCCGCTTGGTAATCGTAACCTCAGCCACAATCTCGGTGAGAATCTTACATGGCCCCGGTCTCGCTTTCGCTTTCGTGGAGTTCAGCGACCTTTTCTCTCGCATGCCCGCCTAGATGACATTCTTCAACTCCTGACCAGCCAAGAACCTCCTCAGATTCTCCTCAATCAACTTCTCCGCCCCCTGCGGCCGTCCCCCCGCAGCATGCGGCGACACAACAACATTCGGCGCCGTCCACAGCCGGCTCTCCTCGGGAAGCGGCTCCGTCTCAAAGACATCGAGCGCCGCACCTCCCAGCCTGCCCTCCTCCAACGCATCCACCAGCGCGTCCTCGTCGACCGACATGCCGCGTCCCACATTCACGACCCACGCATGCTTGGGCAACAGCTCAATCCGCTCCTTGTTCAACGCATGCTTCGTGGCCTCGCTCCCCGGTAGAATCATCACCAAGGCATCCGTCTCTTTGAACAGCTCTGGCAGCTTGTCCTCCGAAAAGACCTCAATCCCGTCCCTCACGCCGGGCGTCCTCGCCACACCCCTAACCTTGGCCCCCAGCGCAGTCAGATAAGGGGTGATTGTTTTTGCGATATTTCCAAACCCCCAAATGGTAACATTCGCATCTCGCAGCGTGGTGAACTTGCCCTTGGGACGATCGGGCTGTGGTCCGCCCAAATGACCCGGCCATTCCCGGCGGACTTGATAATCGCGCATTTCGTAGAATCGTCTCGCAGCGTTGAGGAGTAAACCGAGCGTGTGTTCCGCTACTGTACGGTCGTGGAGTCCAGAACCGGTGGTGATTTGCACCTTGGACTTGTCAAAGCCTGCGTTTAGCACATCATTTGGACCTGCTGCTAGGGATTGGATCCATTTGAGCTTGGTAAGCTTGGAGACGGCATCGCGGAGGTTGGCGGGCGTGTTGCACCAGGTTACGAGGACTTCTGCGTCGGAGTGCTCGTCGGCGATGGGGACTGTCACGTCGTAGGGAATCAAAGTTAGGCCGGGGAAGCCTTCAATGAGGGAAGCCTCCAGGACGAGGGAGGTCGGGTAGAGCAGCTTCATTTTTGTGGCTTCTTTGAGGTAGGCAAGGGATGATGGTGAGTACGAGGTTGTTCTTAGGTGATTGTTGATGTTTGGAGGAATCGAGTTGGTGATGTTTGGAGGAATCGAGTTGGTGATGTTGGCATTTACTCCGTGTCGGTGTTAGGTCGGGATCAGATGAACCGATGTTGAGATGAGGGGTTATTATTAGCGGGATCCGGGACGGGAAGCGGAGCTTTGTATCCGGGACCTTTGCTCTCCACCTGGATTGCTGTAATTGCTGCTGATTTCACACAGGAAAGACGCAAGCCTTGAAAGGAGATTGGTCCTGATGTTTATACTGAATTCCTTTTGGCTCTGCACTATGATTGATGCTGGGTTTGGCGGGGTAAATAATGGCACAATTTTGGAGGGGTCATCGAGAGTGACGTCGGCCGGGAGTGGAACCCAACGGCGACCAACGGTTGGGCGGAATGCCTGTATTCAGGCAGACCGGATTCCGGCTTCGGAGCTTCCCGAGAAGCAACCAAATACTAAAAGCGATTGTTTCTGATCACTGTCTTGATGTTTGATCTCCCAGTTCATGAAATCCCATAATTTTATTCCGCTTATCGGTCATAGTTTTACCACATCCGTGAGTCCACGACGGTCGCTCATCAAGACCGACCGCTGCGCTTCAAACTCGGCATCTAAGCTTGTTGATGATGAGGCAAGCACCAAGGAATAATCGAGCTCCATGGACCGATTTGTATGTTAAACTTCACCCAGTAACCGTGCCAGACGGGCAGCTAATATACCTTACCGGTCTTTACATATCCTGGCTGTGATACCCTTCCCACCTGCTGACTCGCTTCACCCACCAAGAAGTGGATATATCAGCCCGAAACCTTGATGACAATCCCATCCAGCAAATAAGCATAGCATCAACCGCCCTCTTGGCTCAGTGGTAGAGCGTATCACTAGTACCTCCAGCTGGAGTAGTACATGATAAGGTCATCAGTTCGATTCTGATAGAGGGCAAGAAACCAGCAAGTAGCAAGATGTATGCATCATTCGACAGAAGTAGCATAACCCCCTATTTTTAGTTTTAACGATAATTGTTTTCCCTTTTATATTACGACTCTGAAGCAGCAATTTGTACATCTTTCTTATCACAGGTTCCTTGCCCTCTCGGGCCTCTCATCCCTTGATTGCAGTGCGAGGTCGACCGGGGTGCTTTCTTGGCGAGAGGACATGGAAGGAGCGGTGATGCACAAGTCCGATGCTTGGGTTTGTTTTTGGTGCGGTGAGACGAATGAGATCACCGGATGGAGGGGGGATGCAAATTCCGTGCAGTTGCACCTTGTCTATCAAGTCCGATGTCGTGGGTCTTGTTGTTTACACCTTCTTGATGAGACGAATTAAGCTAAAGCGGGAAAGGCAAGCCCTTGATTCCGTCTGTGTGATTTTGGGAAGGCAGGGGCCATCGACGAGTCTGTGGGCAGTAAACGGGTGCAAGTCTGCAGTGGGATTCAAGACCGATATCACTGAATATTTAATATAAGTCTTTCTTATTGTTTATTCAGAATCCTGACGATAGGTTTTAAGGTACTGTTGACTTTCTTCTTACCTTTTACTCAGTATTCTGACAATAGGATTTATCCTGCCAGACCTACCAAGTGGGTGCCCCTAGTATTACCCATATTTAACCATGCCCCGAGCCCGCTCGTTTTCTTTCCTCCCGGTTCCAGCATCAACAACTAGATTATCTTCCGCGACAGTCACCGGCACAAAGCCCATCACAATGTCGACTCCCATCACACACATTGTCCTTCTGGGCATCAAGTCGGATACAAAGCCCGATGATGTCAAGACTGTAAGTTTCCATTCCCCAGTTTTACGACATGTACTCGGTGCGGATGCCAAGACCATCACTGGTAAGAAAACATTAACCTGGAAGCTGATATTCAACATGACGCAGGCAATTACTCGGTTTATTGCACTCAAGGACGACTGTCTGCACCCTACAGCCCAACAGCCTTACATCACGTCGATCAAAGGCGGCGAGGACAACTCGATTGAAGGATTGCATGTACGTTGTTACCTTTATCTTGACTCTTTTCCTCTGCCTTGACTTTATATTCACATGCAGTGAGTGTCTTTCTTGCCTCAGATGCTGACCAAATCACCATCCAGGGCGGTATAACCCACGCCTTCGTGGTCGAGTTCGCCTCGGCCGAGGACAGACTCTACTATATCCACCGGGACCCGGCTCATAGGGCGTTTATCCAGTTTGTCGGCGGCCTGATTGATAAGCTCATCGTGGTCGATTTTGCATCTTGATGCATTTATTCGAGCTAGTTGAGGCATTTATTCCAGTCAGTCGGGGCATTTATTCCAGTCAGTCGGGGCATTTACTCCAGTCAGTCGGGGCATTTATTCACGCCAGTTAATATATTTGTTCCAGCTAGTCAAGGCATCTTTTCCACTCAGTCAGGGCATCTATTCCAGCTAGTCAAAGCATATATTATACAAGAGTCGTGCTTGTATATAGGAGCATTTGTGCTTGTTTTAGGCTGTTTATCAAGCCGTTATCTTTGGGAGAGGTCAAGTCACGGTATTGGCGGAATTTCAGCGGGCATGTGCACTGTCTTTGCCTGCCATGTCCTACATCTACTACCAAACCGCGCCATAGCTCGTATTTCCTTAAAGGAATATACACCAATAAATTAATTCCACACGCATACAAGAAACATTTAAACAAGCTTCTTCATGCCCAAGACATGACGGTGATGGTCTGCCTGAACTATTATATCGGGTGCTACGTTGCGCGTAATTTCAATAATCCCTCACGCTCCATGGGTGTTCTCGTGGTCTGTGGTTGTCCTGCGCTGCTGACAGTGCTTGATGATCCAAGGGTGCTGTTGGACCTGCTCAAGCGATAGCCTCTCTTTGGGGTTGACGACAATTAACTAGGATAGCACAGGGTGTTGTTAGTTCCAGCCTCAACAGGTCGTATAGATATGCAAAGACACTACCACTTACCCTCTTGATCAAATCCGTCGCGTCCTTGCTAACAAACGACGGAACCTTCAGGTCAGCCTTGACGATCCTCTTGGCCGTAATGGCTGGCGGGTCGTCAAACGGGGCTCGGCCGACCAGGAATTCATAGGTCAGCACACCCAAAGCCCACAAGTCAACCTTTTCGTCGTACGAGTGGCCTGGGGCGAGCGGCACAATCATCTCGGGAGGGAGGTAATCCAGGGTTCCGCAATAAGTAGTCCTCCGGTTGCTAGGAGCATGCACACTCCAGCCAAAGTCTGAAATCTTGATCTCCCCGTGGATACCTAACAGTATGTTCTCGGGCTTGATATCCCGATGAATGACATGCTTGACATGGAGGTATTTCAACGCGCTAGCCATCTGCGCAATATAACCCGCTGCCTTGGCCTCCTCGAACCGGCCTGCTTTGGTCAAGTGCTTGTAGAGCTCGCCCTTGCCAGCATACTCGAGAATGAGAAAGATACGCTTGGTGTCGTGGAAGTAACCGTACAACTTGAGAACATTGGGATGACTCAAGTTGCTCTGGATCTCAATCTCGCGGCGGACTTGCTTTTCGACGCGGCCCTGGTGTAGCTCGTTCTTGTAGAGGACTTTGAGCGCGCAGATGAAGCCGTGTTCGCGTTCGCGCGCCAGGTACACGCGACCAAACTTGCCCTTGCCCAACGGCTTGCCGATCTCAAACATGCCGAGGTGTAGTTTGCTAGAAGACTTTTTCACGGCCGCCGGTTGCTTGACAAGTGGGGCCACCGGTCTCTTCTCATCTTCTTGTGCGTCGTCTTGATTCGATTCAGTTGTGCTCGGAGTTTGCGGAGAAGGGAGTGCTTGTTCGCGCAGCGATGCTGCAGCTTGGAGAGCGATTTTGACGAGGCTCGGCATCTTTGGCATGTAGGAGTATATTGATTGCGAGGAGACGGTGCCCTATTTGGAAGGTCAGATTCATTACTCTGACAAGTATTGAGCCTTTGGCTGGCAGCATACCTTTGTTTTCGGGGCGTGTTCGCTGTCGTCGTCGAGCGACATACCCCCCAAACGGAGCTCTAGGGCGCTTATTGCCATTTCCGTGTGTGCTTGGTCAGAAGAATTTGTGCAGACTGAAATCGGTGCTGTCTTTTTGTTGTAATTATCCGGGAAGAAATGAACTTGCTGAAATCACTGGATGGATTGTTCTTGGCAATCAGCTGGCAGCGAAAGATCGGATGGTTGTTGTTGCGGGGGCAACCTCCTCCAGTGGTCCCGACAGAATGGGACGGCTTTGTCACTGGCAGTTTCCAGACGACCGTTCACAGGGCTTGGATGACATCACCTTGACAACTTGCTTTTTCAACAAAGCAATTTATCATTCAACATGAGCATAGTCTAAAGCTTACAGCATAGATACAATAAACGTCTCCCTTTTCCGGCGGGTTGGCAATGGCCTGTCTGCTCATGCACCAGGGCGGCCCATAAAGAGCTTTTTTATAGGCATACGTGGTACTTGGTGCTGTCACAAGTGTAGTGTGGAAGTTGTATGGCTGAGCAGAGGTGGGTTTTGACTGGTCTTGGCAACAGCCTTATCGATCGCTTCTCTATGTGTGCCTTCCTTTCTGCCAGCAAGTTCCTGAATGTTTTGGTCGCTGCTGTGACCCTTTTCGCTTATTGTCAAGTGTGAATTGGTTTGTTCCCTTGGTCTCTTTTATCCTTTCATGTCCCAATTTCTATTGTTCCATCTACTCTTCTATCCCTTCTTCTGTTAGCAACCACCTCAGCTGAATTAGTGTTCATTAGAATTGGGGCTTATTAAGTCTTGGTATAAAGTTACGTGTTGCTCTTACCTGCTAATCAGGCGTGAAAATCTACCAAGGTCGGTATACCCGTTTGGGCTAAAGATATTTAGTGAAAGACCTGGCCTCGAAAGGGCCAAGATCAGAGGAAAATCTGCAAAAGAAGCAATAACTAATACTACAATTTGAAGACGATCTGATCAACCACACCGACCAACATTCCTACCGAGTATCTGAAACCCAACTCGCACGTACCATCTGAGAATCCATTACAGCTCTGAGCTATTCAAGCAACAAAAGCACGCTTGGCCTTCTTTCCGACGCCGACGTTTCCGAGGTCGAGGTTTCCGACATCAACACCCTCATAAGCCTTGATGGAGACCTCGATGGTGCCATGCAGAGAGTTGCTGTCAGAAGTGATCATCCTTCTTTCATCCGCGGGAGAGATGATGTCAATGAGGCCATAAGCAATTGTCTGGGTTTATCGTGTTAACTTGCAGATCTCACAGACGGATTTTGGGAAAGGGGCTGGATGTACTCACGTCAACAACGCTCTCAATCTGACGCAGGATCGTAGCAATGGGCTGTCCGACAATGGGGAGCGGGTTCAAAAGCCCGGCTTTGCCAATCAAGATGTTGAGGAGGGCCTGGTGGACGCGGACAAACTCTCTAAAAGCGTCGGCGATGGCTTTGGCACCGGGCACGTCGGCGATGGTGTCTCTGTCCTCTGTCATGGCCGCAATGGCCACCGTGGCTGTCGACACGATGTCGGTGAAGCCAGCAATAAGAATCTAACGTCGCGGAACGGTCAACATGTGTTTCTCCCAGGATACAGCAGCCGAGGGGGGAACGAGGCAGCGGAACTTACTGGGAAGGGGCCTTGGCCGATAATAATCAACGGTCCATTGATGATACTGATCGACTGGGCGGGGGCCTGGAGAGCCTGGGACTTGGTGGTCAAAGTTCGGATGTTCTGGACGATCTGCGACGCGGTGAGGGCCGAGACGAGCGGCACTGCCAGGACGGCTGTCGCAAGGGTACGGAGAGAGACCATCTTGGATATCTTTGTTGGAGCTGAGTCTTGGGAGTTGAGATGGGTGCTTGCTTTATTGGTGGTGATGGAGGATCGGAAAAACAATTCTCTTGTCGACAACCGCCGACCTTATATACCCGATCATTGTTTGCTCCAGCTCCACTAATTGTCATCAACAATGCGAT